TTTCGTTTGCGTGGACATGATACAATGCCGCGGTCTCTGCTCCTTTTCTGGAATCGCCGCGATCCTCCCTCTCGCCGTGTTGCGACTATTATAGGAAGACTGTATGTACGTATATTTAAGAGAGAGTCGAAGTATATGGGAACGAGAGAGATGCAAGGGAGGGAAAGTCGTGTACTAAACGCAGAGTTGTTCGTCAAGCTTGGGAGGCGGTAGTGGCAAAAGGAGAACTCTTTTAAATTTGAGAGTGTTTTCTCAGCAAACACTTAGGTGGATGACTAATTATAGAACTACTTAAATTGTGTAATTAATTTCGAGTAAATTCTAAAAATAAAATATAATTTATAAGTTGTATAAGTTTTCAGTTAGCAATTTTCAAACTGATACAGTGGATACATTTATTAGAATGTTTTTTCATAATATTTTTTCGTAATTTTCGTTCTGATTTCACAATTTCCTTTAACAATTGCGATTATCTCTATGAAAAAAAAAAGATTGTATTCATAGTAACGTTTCGCTCGAGTTGTGCAATCCATTCATGAAACCCGAGTGCGTCTTGGCAGGTCAAATCGAGAACGGAAGAATACATCACACATAACAAATGACTCGGTAGTAAAGGTTCTCGAACCAAGCCTCGGCCAATTTCCTGATCACTCATGTCTCTCCTCTGCCATGTCAACAGAAACGGACCACGCCTGTGTTCAGCACTTTACATGTTTGCTATGCTATTCATCGGACATGTATCCGACATTAGAGCACATTGGACGCGCCTTCTTGAAATTCGCGAAGCGATCGTTGCAAGGTGCATCGGGAGAAACGATCATGATTAACGATAATCAACGGTTGTTTCGAAGACAGGAGAAATAGGACGCGTTACCTCGAACTCGATCGTTAGAATTTAAATCGTTCGTTGAATTTCCAGGAGAAACGAAAAGCGAAGGTAAAATGTGTGGGATGCGTCGCGATGAAAGCTATTCTTGGCGTAAGGAATGCAACGGTGATAAATGTTTTTCGAGACGACAAAAAAAATTACACTAAAATCGTCAGGTTATAAAACAATAATAATATTTTTTCAAAATGTAAACACTTTTATTAGCCCACATGTTAGCCCTTTCTGCGCACCATCTATTTTACATACATAATATATGCAGTTTATAATAAAATAAATAATATATACAAATATATATATATATATATATATTTATATTTATTATATATTATATATATAATAAATAATAAATAATATAATATGCAAGAATCTTTGGAAATATTTTCATTTACTTATATCATGGAATTGATTCTTTTTTCATGGCAATAGGAGAAATATTTGGACATTATTAGACGCTTTTAGAACGAGATGCCATTGTGTTTTTGCTTGCCATTGAAACAACATCCTAATCGCGAGAGGAATAGGAGCGGTTCGGTAGACACGCGCACAATGCGTGTCTGCTCGTTTTTCGACGAACGCGCGCCCAGTTGCTTTCTTTCTTACGCGCGCATAATGCGCGCAGTTTGGCGCAAGCAGCACGTCCGGGAGATTTCTGCCACGTTGTTCTTGAAATAGGGAGCTACTTATGTGCGCTTATGCATCGGGGCTTACCAGGACTCGTACAGATTCGTCATCGGACTCAGAACGTATGAGCAAAGCGAGCGAAGCCTTCGCCTTTTACGTAGCCGACGTTTGTTTTGTTAGGGATCTTCTAGGGTTGTGAGGGGCGTGGGTTGCTTCCGCGCATTATTCGCGTACGTACGTCGCTTTTATGCACGGAAAGGATGATTAATCTTGATAATAAGTTAAAACGCGACATATAAAGCAGGAAAAAAATTGCTTTAACCTGATAAATTAACGTAGATACACAGAAAAAAGGACATTCTTGTTTCGAAATATATTTAGTTTTAACATGGAAATCTTGAAATGAGGTTATATTGCGTTAATTAAAGAAAAAATATACTCGCTTGAATAATTGCTTACTTGAATGAAGTCATTTTATACAGTTCAATCGAGAGAAATATATTCTTATGACTTAAGAACTTGTACAAGTTTTGATTTGACACTTATTTTTTTTCTGTGTATATTCGATTAAAATTTCTCGATAGGTTGTGCAAATTTTCAATTTTTTTCTACTTTACAAGTAATAAATGAACATCATAGATCTTCTTTTTTTAGAACATTGATTAAACAAAATTTCAAAATTAAAAACTATTGAATAATTATTACTAAATGATATTTTGACAGTTTTGTTTATGTCAGCGTCAATTTGGCTACAAAATAATTCTGATTAATATAGATTTATTAAAATTGACAGTTGAAGAAAACAGGCTAAACGAAAAAATGACAGAAGGTTCGTTAACGATGTGAAATATTGCGAAGCGATTAGTGTAGTCTGATTAGCGCGTTTTGCATAACGCTCGGTTAACGATCTTTTTTACGATAGCACCTGTACACGAGCGTTAACAGGGCTGTTATTAAATATTATTTAAGCGAGCGATACCAAAGGATCATTATTTTCCGCTCGCGTGATGTTGTATAAATCCGCGCGAGGCGCGAGCATTAATCAAAAGAGTGATGGATCACGAGTCATCTTCGCAGATAATACTGACAAAATAGCGAATTTGACAACAGGTTCAGAATAAATAAATTTATTAAAATCGTATATATATATATATATATATATATATATATATATATATATATAAAAATAGATTAATTATTGAATAGAGTCAACAATGAAGATAAACAATTAACAAAATTATTCGTCACAATATATCCTATCAAAATTATTAATGCTCACAATGCATTCAAAATGCAATTATATGAAAGTCAAATAGTAGAAAAAACATTTTTTACAAAAAAAAATAAAACGCGAATATTATATAAAATTTTATTCACGAGAAATATGTGAGATACAAGTGGCTGGATGGAGAATCAAACCCGAATCTTTCGCTTTCCGGGCAACTGCTTCAAACCACTGAGCTATCCAGACCTCATACCTTGAGTCACATCTAAAACTACTATTTAAAATTTTTTTGGTGAAATATTACAGCCCTTTCCTTCAACAGCTCAATTAAAGAATCTAAGGCATCTGAAACGATAACGAATGTAATCAATGTATTTTCTCGTGCTCTCATAATTTATTATAATGAAAAAACAAATTTAAATCTGAATTTTTTACTCTAATTTATGAATAAACTTTTATATTTACATTCCAAACAAGTGCCGATAGAGATATTCGCGTGTATGAACATTGGTTTTCCGTAAGAAGCGGTGAGCACGTCATAAGTGACCACATCCCTCAAGATCCCTCTAGTAAATACATCTTATACATCCCATAACGTATATCTTGAATCTAAATTCAAGATCAATATGTATTACAATACAAGAAAAATCTCGATATTTGCTTTTTATTTAAAAATTCAATAAAATGATACATGAATGAAACCACGAAGATATAATATTTTTTAAATAATAATAACTTGAAGATTAAAAATGACTTATGTGTAATTTAGACAAGGGATACAATGTTTTATTAAAGTTTAAAAATGACTTATGTGTAATTTAAACAAGGGATACAATGTTTTATTAAAGTTTTTGTCAATCAACACAAACGAGTCCAGGGAAGTCTCGATCGATCGCTTCTTTCCGCTGCAATTTCCGCGATGATCAATTCATTATATCACCGGCGCGGCGTGTCGCAAAGTGTCTTATCTCTCGCGGATAATTCGTCACGTTTCTTACATCGCTGTGCACTCGTGTAAGCCGTTGGAGAAGCTGGCGGAACCTGTTCGCTGCATCTCGTTGCTGCATCTGCGGCCTGTTCGCGCGCGCACGACTGGTTTTGCGTTGCGCTCTGTCAAAACCTGTTGATGGATGCGTCGTCCAGCAGAAAATGACGGGATCAGCCGCGTCGCTTCGATTACACAGTCCCTTTTTTTCATTTGTTTTGTTTGTCAGTTTCCCTCGTCTCGGAGATGTTATGCCCGGTCCGACGCGAAAAATTGCGACTTTTTGATGTATAGTAATTATAACTGACGATTGGCCGGAATAATTACACGCGCACATTTGTATAATTGACGGCTCTGATCGATTGAAGTTTACGTTCCGAAACCTCGAATGCCACGCACAACAAATATATCATATATATTTCTTGTAAAGCTGTCAGTTGTCAGAAGTTTGTTACGCGTAAAGTTATAATTTATTAAGAAAGAGATACAGATCTATCATTCGCTCTCTCTTTCTTTTTCGTTTACGATTTAAAGAGAAAATTATTCATTATTCATTATTATTCATTTATATCATGAATTGTTTAATTTGTTTTATTTAGAAATGAAAAGCGATTAGTTTTTATCAGTTATAAGTTTATAAACCTGTCTAATAAAAATGTCAGGAGGAGCAACATCTTGAAAGACTGATGTAAAATTAGCTTTTCCTACATGAATTTTCTACATCAAATGAATTTATGAGACACTAATATACATCTTCGACCTCACAGCAGATGTTTGCCGAGTAAACATACGAAACGGCTGGGGACTGACACTCGCGATGATTTATCGGCGCCACGTACCAATACACCGATTCGTCAATAAAAGGCACCAGTAAAACCTCGTGAAATGAAAATAAAAAGAGATTTAAAAACAAAGTTTTGACGACGCGCGATTCTATTTCGGAATCTGACGAAAGTTTCGATGGTAACATAAAGCCTTTAAAAATGCACATTGCCCCAATTTTATATCGCAGTCAATTATATCAAGCCATAACACTAATAATAAAATTTTATAACTCAATATAATTATGATAATATCGTGATAATAATTATGATATTTAAAATATAGAAATTTTTCAAACAAGCTGTCATCATATAATTATGATAATATCATGATAATAATTATGATATTTAAAATATAAAAATTTTTCAAACAAGCTGTCATGTATAATTATGAGATTTTTTTTCTTTTATTATCAATCTCGATGAATCTTTGATGAAAATTTTTCCTTTTAATTTTAGCTTCGAGAGGATCGTACAGTCATCGTTCAGCTCTTAATAAGAATTTGAAAAATGGCGGTCTCTTTCCGTCCACGTTCAACGTCGCTGCGAAAGCTGACATATTCGTAAACGCGACATGCGGCAAAGAGGGTCCGGAAACTTTTTGCAAGCCTTCGGAGTTGTCGAGATGCGCCGTTTGCGATTCTAGGAGTCCCGATCCTGGCAAGAGGCACAACATCAGCAACGTGCTCGATCCGAATCCTAGCAAATGGTGGCAGAGTCCCACGTTGGCCAAAGGCGATCAGTACGAATACGTGACGATTCTTCTGGATTTGAAACAGGTAAATGTTTGTAATCATTTTTCAACAAATGCTAGAAATTTTTCAGCAAATTGTTTATAGAAATTTTATTTAATAAACATGAGATGTGTGAGATTTTACGATTTTTAGTATTCAAAAGAGAAATGGAGATACGTTTTTTTTAAGAGTTCTTTAAGAGAACATTCATAATATCTACATTTATATCTACATTTTATTTTTGTATCTACATTTTACTTTTTTCCGAATAGACCTATTCTCAAAATTCCTTCGGGTTCGTATTAAAAGGCTCTTGTCCCCGAAAAATCGTGGAATCTTTTTTCTCTCGTTTGACTCGGTTCTTGCATTATATCTTTTGGTTCCAATTTATGTCATCCACTTGATGCCGACAGAGCCGAACCAAACTGAGAAAGGGATAGATACGAGAAACGAGAGAGAGAATAGAATAAGAAAATCGACAAACTCGCGTAAGATGAAAAAGAGAAAGATGCCGATAGCAGGGGGGACAGGGAGAGAAACAAGAGGGATAGGGAAGCTGAATCTCTTTAGAGGATTCCTTTCCGGAAATTTACGTGGCGGCTCGCAGGTATGTCCCATGTGCATGTGGCCCTTTGTCCTTTAACAAATTGCGAATGGCGGAATATAAAGAAGAAAACGACATTTTAACAAGCATAGGCGGCCCTCTTTTTTAAGACCGTCAATAATGAGAACTTCGAGAGTATCGCGAAATGAATCTGCGGGAGGTGTAGAAGTGTCGATATGACAGGCAAGGGTGAGCTAAATTTTAACGAGAGGGTATTTCATTCCAAAGCGTGGGAAGGTCTTTAAAGAGCCTCGAAATAAATCGTTAATTTTATTCTGAAATTTTATATGTGATTTTTTTGAATCAAAATTAAACGTTTAAATATTATGCGAAATTTTGTAAAAAAATAAAAATAAAAGTTATAATAGAAAAATAGAAATATTTTTTGTTTAAAAATATATTATAAAAGAAAAAATAATTTTGTATGGCCTTGTTCAATTAGAATGAAAAATTAATATCTGTTAGAATTTCGTTTTTATCTTTATGATGAATTATATACAATATATGAAAATTAATATAACATTAATATTACATTCACATATTTAAATTATTCAAAAGTTGTACGTTGCAGTTTGAATCTTAGAAATACACCGGATGCTAATTAAACGCTGATCGTTCGACGAGCGCGCACGCGCAATTTGCTAATTGATCCTCCCATGCAATATGATAGCCGGGGGAAGAAGTCCTGAGTATAATTGATACGTTAATGTGCTCGTAAAACCCGCACCGTATCACAATAATGAACACGTTAAGATAGGCGAAGTCTCGTTGTGTAATTAGAAGTTGGAGGACCGCAACCTCATTGGCCCTTAATTGGATTCTGATTACGAACCTAATCCGTTCCCCCCGTTCAGACTATCTTCCGCGTGTGATCGTGTCGTGGGTGTGTCGTTTTACGAAAGCCGATTCTCCTCTAACGATCCATAATTAGGAGACCTGATTGAACGAATTAATACTACGTGCGCAATAGAAAATTTTCGAGTCTTAAAAAAATGAACTTATACTTCTGGCGTAACGAAAACGATGATCGATTTTTTTAATGATCATTCACGATGGTCTCATAATTATAATTTCACTTTACGAGTATGTAATTATACTATAGGCATTTTCTACGAGAGTTAGTATCACACGATCACCATAAACTATATTATTAAATACATAGTTTAATGTTGACAGTGTGCTTTCAGTATTTAATTAAGTAGAGAGACATGGCCAACGAGAAAATCATAAGGTTAATGTTGAAAATAATGAAATTGGTTTTTTATTTTATCATGTTATCAATTTTATAACTTTGTAATATGTAATAATAAAATTAATCACGATATGGTATATGAAGGAAGATATTATTATAAGCTATCTTGAAAGAGAAAAAAATAGTATATATAATGTTTTTTTTAAACGTAAGAAACTTAAAATCTATAGCTCATAAGAAAGTATTTCTTTTCAAATAATGATGCTGTGAATTTCTCGTTGCGCTTTATAAAGAAAAGATTGGCGATGATTTATCGCGACATTTTTAAATTACGACTTGTGGATATCGGGAATGATTATGCTAATCGGCGAATAAGCGATACGCGGGAGGGCATATTTATGATCCTCGTTAACGTTCATTGCGCTTATTAATTTTACAGCCGTCCAGTTACTCGTTATTGTTTTTTTAATCCCACAAATCAGCGTTAAATTAATATGATGCATCAATATTAGTTATTGTTATTGTCGTTATGTTGCTTTTATAGTTATAAATGGTTATCTAAGATTAATATTAGTGTTAATTTGTAACAATACTCGAATAATTTCTCCTCAAATTGAGCGAAGAAATATAAATAATTTTTTAAATTCCTAAAAATAATTTCGGAAGATTTAACATTTTTTATTATTATTAATTTTGTTACAATAACAAAGCTGTAAAATCAGCATTTACTAGTTGTCTTTTTTTTATACAAAAAGATGAACATAATGATAATAAAAATAATATTGATTACATATCGATATGTGGAATAGAGTTGAAATTTATTTCCTGATTTTCGAGAAAAAAATTCCCACGCGTTGATCGGTGCCGTTATCTCGTTTCGTGTATAACTTCTGTTTGCGCTACTGATTGACATGACCAAGCGGCAAGATCGGTCCCGCCTCCCACGCGAAGGCGTCCAGTGAAATAAATTAATTTGTTCGTGCCGAAAAGAGACCGCTTGATGGACAGCCTTTATCTCGATATATATGGCGAGGAGGCCGAGACCACGTTGCGCAATAATTAACAGACGGCTACAAATGATCGGCAAACATTAAGAAAGGAGCTATCGCCACCGTAACTCTCGACTTACCGCTTCTCGATTTAATGAAAGAGGAGTGATCATTTTTTTTATTGCAGAAAATTTATTAGTACTTCTAATAAAGCTTGGAAAGTGCATTTAATATATTTTGCAAGCGAAAATAAAGAATTTATTATATATTGTTAACAAAGTATCTATCTCTTGAACACGAATATAAAATAATTTTTAAAAATTGAATAGAAGAAGAGGAGTTGCAATGATTAATCTTAGATTATCGTTAGGAAATTCATTAATATTCTCAGCACATTGTTAAAGAAGAAATTCAATTGATATATATTTTACAAAGAAATAATGGAGAAAAAGCTGTGATCATTAATTAAGCTTCTTTTACATCAATTTAAATAATTACAAATTATTAATAATACAAAAATTCATTATACATTAAAATATTTTTTAAATCTTCTCGAAATATTATATCGTACTCGTAAAAATATAAATATCAAGAGTATCAACCGACACCATGATACCGCGCGTGGTATCACTCGCGTGGATCGCCAAAAAGAGAAACGATCCTGTCGAAGGATCGAAGCGCACGTCAAACCGCCTCCCTCGAATAGCGTTGAAACGGAACGGGCGAGTTATTGGCTCTTGTGGATCGACGGCACATCTAACCCCGCGGCGAGAAATGGAACGAGAGCGAAAAGGAGCAAGGAATGGTACTCGAGAGCAACGATTGAAGGCAGCCGAATCCTTCATTGTTCACGGATTAGCGAGTCGAGTTGCCGTCGTCCCTCGAAAGCCTGCCTGTTCGAGGTCCTCGAACCTGGGCGCGCGCACCGTCTTCTTCGTCGACCGGGTGAATGAATCATCTTCTCTGGGCGGGCTGGACTGGAACCGGGAGGGGTGGGAGAGGTGGGACGAGGCGGACGAAGTCACGAAAATAATACCTCGTGGGGTGGAAGATCGTTTCACGTCCGACGAGGGGATTTGTTTTTTTTTCCTATTCATGGGCCGTGAGCCTCTTGTGCGGATGATGTATACATATGTTACACGACGACGTAATCGTGACTTTTCATCCGAATTTTATGGCCGTCTAATGTTGGACGTTATTGGATTGTTATGCATCGTGAGGCGTTTATGAATTAAATCGAACATGATATGATCTCTCTCTCTCTCTCTCTTTGTATCATATGAAATTCTTTCATAAAAATTTGGAGCAACAAAAATAAATTTTTAATCAATCTAAAAATGATTATGAATTAATTAATAATAATCTCTGTCGGATACATAATTTCCGATGGAGATCCTGACAGAATTGTCTCTTTCTTTCGACTAAAATCTGTGAGAAGGAAAGCGAGACGAATAATTAGTTTATTTTTTATGTAATATTATGCCTATAATAAAGATGCATAAAAATCATCATAAATCATGATAGTGTCTCGATCGAGACCGTTGAACCTGCTTAAGGTGATTGCTGGGCGGCTTCGTTGCTTTTATCGGGACGGCCACCGTTGCGGCACGTCACGAATTTACCTCGTAATTCAATTCCCACGGCCAGTGGCGATAATTACAGACTACGGCACGCGGCCCTTACAAGTACAACCGAGCCGCGACCGGCCATCTTTTTGCCTTATGCTTACCGTTGATCGTCGCTGCAGGATGCAGGGCGAGGCGATTAAACGAGATTCTCCGGTGTGATGGAACTCTAAGCGATAATCGCGTCATGAATTTACGGTCGTCGATTAAAAGAGATGAATCAAAGTTATAAGCAGATCGTAATCGAAATTGTTATTAAGCATGTTACACAATTCAGGTAAAATTACATATTGAGGAAAATATTTATACTATCAAGATAATTATCGACTAATTAAATATATATCATTTTGATTGAATGTTTTTCTAGTTGAAATTTTGCTTCTGTTTTCAATATCAATTTTCTCACGTTCATAAATTCCAAGAGATTTTTCATAGGTTTATTTTATAGTTGAACTTCTACTTTCGATCTTAAATAGGCAACAAATTTTCTATTTACAAGAGTTTAAAAAGTTGAGTGTTTTTAGCAAAACTAAATAGTTTTAAAAGAGAGGAAATGATTTGATTATGTATATTTAAAATATATATAACGTAATGTTAAATTAAATTAATTAAAAATGAAGATATTAAAGTAGAAA